CACGTAATGTCATGGATCTTCACAAAAATTGTATTGCATGGGCTGTTTCACGTGGTCATGAGAGCCACATTCATTTTGTTCACCATTGTTCCATAGTGGGACTGCGGTAGCATTGGGAAATTCACAAACATCAAGAGTAGATGTAAGAAGGCAATAGAGGTTCCAGAAACTATCATAGTCGTCCTAAGCATGCTAGGAAACTTTTATATGCAAGATTTGAGCTTCTCAGAACGAAGAACGATGAATGCAGTCAAATACCGTATTTCTAAGCTAGCTTGAAGCTCTTGCTCGCTCCGTATTTCTTGCATGTGCCTTATGATCCCACTAATAGTATTCTCTGACTGTTGTATACATACCTTAACATTACTGTATCCTGCTACGGACCACTCTGGCTGGAGCTTCACCTAGGTGTCCTTGGTTATTTACCAGAATGGGATTCCATCGTCAAGTGGAATACTTGAAGCATCCAAAAATTAGGACTTACTCATGGGTAGCATTGTCTAAAATGATAGGAGACGTGCGACCCACCGACGGGTCATATTGTCATGGATATATTGAACATTGCCTTCCATCATGACTTATAATAACGGGCTAAGGGTTGTTTACGTTTTTTTGTGTGTGTGTCTGTCTGTCCGTTACGAAATTCGTAGGGCGAGTTCCAGCCAACCTCTTGAGCCCAAATTTTGCACAGCACATCCTAGCAGCAGGAAAGTTGACCGTGCAAAAGCACAAGCGGATCCGATAAGTGGATCCTTTAGAAAGTGCGCGTGAAACGGGTCCACTTAACTTCTGACCAGCAAAATTGGATCTGTATATAAACTTTTTGCAAAGTCGTGGATATGTTTGACGTGCGAGTCAACAAAGTATGCCTTTCGACTGAAAGAACCACTATGAAATATTTGCACATGTGGAAACGGCGCCAAAAAGTTCTGTTGATTAATTCATCAATTTTTCGATGTTCCACTCAACGAACTTGAGAGACTTTTGCTCATAGGTGTAGACCATTAGAGCCATTCTTCATAGCGCCAGTAATTAGGTTATTTAAAATTTAGTAACTATTTCAAAAACGTATTTATCGTTCATTTGGATTATTTCTTTCATACAAAATTGCCGGTCACTACCCTATTTTCAGGTGTATAAGCCGCACCCTTTTTGCTCCAAACGCGAGCAGACCCAGGCGTGCCGCCGCGCATATGTCTCGCGAAGCGGTCGCCTTATCGCATACTGCTCTCACTTAACGCGCTCCATGATGACAGTCAGTCTTTTGGCGTGTTCGCCTTTAGAGTGAAAAGGGTGCGGCTTATACACCTGAAAATAGGGTAATTACAGAGCATTCGAAATGAACTGTTTCTAACATTTCATTCGTGATGTTTGGTGGGTTTCATTGTTAACACGCGAGTAGTTGGGAAGGACTCCCAACGTAATGGCAGAGCCACGTGCCAAACGTTATAGGCAAGCCAGCGCAGCCTTACTTTGATCGGTTGCAGGACATACCAAAAGCGACCAAAAGTAGATAAACGCATATGAGTCGACGAAGGCTAAGATTAAAGAAAATGCAATTGTTATTCACAGCCTAACACTGACTAACGCACGCCTAATTATGGAAATATCATGAATCGATGCTTTGACTAGCCGTTTTCGCCTGTTCATTATCAATTATTTTATTTTTGTTGAGAAAGCTCGAAGAAACAAATGAATTTTGAAATTTGAGAACCGAGTTTATCTATGTTCCTGTAGCCATGAGTTTTGAAGTAAGAATGTGGCACTGTTCTGAGTGTAACGGTTCATTTTGATCGACTCATTTCAAGTGGTAGGTTCTGCACACATTATTAAGCGTAGTCAGTCCCAAATCAATGCGGAAGCCTTTTATGTGAAGCCGTGCGCGTCTTGATAAAATATCATAACGATGAGAGCGAGGACACGCGCGTAGTCAAGATAGGATACAACTACCGTCTCGACGCAAGCTGCGTTGCGAGACGTGAGCTCATCATAGCACTTTCGGCCCACAGCGGCTTAAATGTGGACTTCACCACTTTTTATTGGCGATTTGAATCGTTATGTTGGACTCACTTTACGGTGGTTGGCACCACTACCGCTGTTACACGTTAGCTCAGTTGAGCGTTCACACCGTTGTGCAGTTTTAACAATTCAAAGAGTAGCCGGTAACGACAGTAAGAGCGGTTGACGATTGTAATCGTATCATGACTTATAATAACGGGCTAAGGATGTTTACGTGACTTTGTCTGTGTGTGTGTCTGTTACGAAATTCGTAAAGCGTGTTCCAACCAGCGTTCTAAGCCCAAATTTTGTATAGCGCATGCTACCTTCATGAAAGTCCAACATGCAAAGGCGTTGAGTGGATCCCTCAGAAATTGCGCGCCAAACGGGTCCACCTGGCTTCTGTACCGCAAAATTTGGTCCGTATCACCACTTTTTGCAGAGTCGTGGATGAGTTTGGTAAGCAAATGTGCAAGCGATGGAGTTTAGCCAGAAAAGTGGTCGAAAATTTACTACATAACGAAAACGGCGCCAAAACGAATTAGTTGTGTAAATGGTCAATTTGCCAAGGTTATTGCTAAGCGTTTGAGAAGATTTTCGCATAGAGATGTATAATTGATTCAACTGGCTGAGCTTCGGCAAAGGCAGGGCTTTGTGACGTAATTAAGGCTAGGTAATGACCAGAGAGCACTCGCGCGCGAGAGACGCAGGTGCGTCGCGGGCGCGAGGGGCCTGCCCTGACGAAGCTAAACCAGTTGAATCAAATATAGCTCACAGTCATCATTACCTTTATGACGACTACCAATTCATGACAAATTCAAAAACCTATTCAAATTTGCGTTTGTCTTCCTGCGAAAAATTTCATCCACGCGAAATCACCGATCTCACGTAAAAAGATTTTCTAAATGAGTGGTTGTTTACATTTTATTCGTGGTAGTCGGCATAGCGCGGTGAGTTCCAGTGCCACGGTTTTACGAGAATGAGTAAGGCACATAGATAGTAGAGCCAGTGCGAACCTCTGCGAAGCAGAGGTGACGCACACTGGTATTGACATAAGCGCCGTACGATTTGATAAATAACGATTGTTAGGCTTTAGCCTTACAATCAAGATTTTTGCATGACTTTCCCTTCAATAAACCATGCAATGGCTATCCTTGTTTGCTTTCAGAACAGCTATACAGAGATTTGCCTTCTTGAAGCATAGTTAGCGTGTACTTAACACGTTGAAAATGGACTGCATATCCAATGCGACTCAATTTTGAGCAGCTGCCGCTGCCCTGTGTTCTTCATGACAATCAGCCAATAGTAGTATTACCACGTAGAAATTACCATCAAACTTTTCGTTTACACCTGAAAAGCTAGCGTGCATATGTGCGTATGCAAGATAATGCTAAACGAGAGTTGGGGCGTGCATACGCGTATATGCACAGGTCGTCAACGTGTTAGTTATGCTTTGAGTGTATCTAAGAAGTTACCCTAGTATACTCGGAGCATAGTGAACCAATTTTGATCACAAATGGCCGCGAAATTTTTACTTGCAGCATTTCGCAAACTGGAGGCAAGTAGTAGATGTTGATTGGGAATTTTGTTCAGGAAATGCTCTTGTAGCGAAATTTCGCGGTGACCTGCTAAAAGTGCTGTCGCGTTAGATGGCGCTGCGTCAGCACAGCACAATCCTCAACTAGTCAAATACGCGGCTGACAAAGAAAGGTAAGTTGTGCGCTTAGAATATTTCGTGTGCCTAAGTTTTCAGTTTCCAAAGAAAATCGTTTCAGGCAGAAAACGAACATCAAAAGAATGATGGACGAGTTAGAATCAATGTGGGTGGTACTGAAACTACAGTTTCTACGCTGACAAGACTAGATAATACTGTATGTTTTGCTTCTTTGCTTTCTTGCTAGCTTCACAAAGCCGTAAATTACAGCTGTTTTCCACGATGATGGCGGAGCGCTGGCGAAACTGTGAAGAGTTGTTCGTGGATAGGGATCCGACTTATTTCCCAAGAGTGCTGATATTATATCTTTTCTGGAGATTCAATGTTGATTTTTTGATTTTGAGATACTAAATTACTTGAGGGACGGTGAGGATATTACTCTTCCTACTGCAAATGAGGCTCGTGAGGCTTTACGAAGAGAAGCCAATGTGAGTTCATAGAAAAAGGTGTAAATGTCGTTTTACTTTGTATTGCAGTTCTATAATCTTCCTGGTCTTGCCAAGTTGTGCGTACCGTATACATCCACATGTGAAGTCGACAATGGTCTTGTATTAGAAACCATCAACACAGGAGATTTTGTTCAGTGGAGAGAAAGTGTCATTGAAAAGTATTGTAAATATTTAGTCAGGTACAATATCTAAAGTCAGCATGGCTTTTGTAGCTCAGAGCTTCTTGTCATCCTTTCTAGGATGCCTTTTTTAGATGTCTTCATGTACGCGAATATCCAAACTCAGACAGCGGATAGGACCCCTCCGCCGGAGAAATGGCAGGGTCGCGGCGTTTCCCCAGCGGTGGGTCTCCCATTTGTCCGGCGGAGCCCTCCCATTTCTCCGGCGGAGACCTCCCATTTCTGCTCCGGATACCTCCCATTTTCTGCTCCGGATACCTCCCATTTTCTGCTCCGGATACCTCCCATTTTCTGCTCCGGAACCCCCCGATTTTGTGCACCGGAGCCCCCCGATTTTCTGCTCCGCAAGTCTGCCGCGGCATACTGTAATTAGCCCTAATTAAGCTCCAAACCCCATGTGGGTTTGGAGCTTAATTAGGGCTAATTACAGTATGTTGCGGCAGACTTCGTCTTGTCTCTAAACTTTGTCGACTTTGTCTCTAAACCCCACCCAAATCAGCCGAATACGACCCCCCCCCCGGGTAAGAGTTCAGCGCGACCCTCAACCCCGTCTTTACCCCATCCCTCTCACCCCTAGCGTTTGTGGATAGAAGATAGAAGAAAGAACGAAGAGATAAGACATTTATTTCAAATTTTTCAAACTTCTTCGAAAAATCATTTTATATCGTTAATCATTTCACACCCACTGGTGTAACGAAGAATGAACCTTTCCAACCAAACAACGGTTTGTGGAACAGTTAAATTGCAGTCGCAGTTGGCCCATATCATCGGCGACTCTTAAAAGCCTTAAAAGCCTCTTAAGCCTGATAAACACCATTAAATTTTTCTGAGATATGTGAAAGACATCTTACCATTACGTAGTAATCTCCGAGGTTGATCTCTTGGGTTTTGCCAACAGGTGACAAAGCAGTCAGAAGCGCCTTGTTCTGATCGGTTACTCCTTTAGCGGCGAGATTAAAATTGGTCATAGCCTAAAAGAGCTACCAGTATATACTGAAGTTATTAGAAAGCTGCTTGTATTACACACTTTCAAGGGTTTTCCTATTCCAGAGTATGCAATGGCACTGTAAAATGTCATGACAGGGCGAAGTTCATCAGGGATACTGCTTGCAGATAAAGTGCAAAGGTTCTAAATGCACCAAGTCCATTGCGTGACATAATGGAAAAACATGAATTGAATCAGTGGTATTTGAAAATTATAGCTTGCAAAGACACCTACCATCAAAACTGCATACTGCTCATGCAATGCTAAAGATCTGGCCAAGAAAACCTGCGCGGAATATGGTGATAGAAATAGTAATCCAGCCTGGACAAAATCTATATGACAAAACAAGAACGACACTGCACTGAATTATACCTCGAGTATTTTGTCCAGAAAAACGTTGAATTCCGGGGATGGGTCAGCTTCTTCAAAGCGTCCTATGTGCGCTACCTTACTCAGCCAATCCACGCCCTCTCCTTTGAAGAACCAACTACATAGAGACACCTGCACATTATCCCTAGAAAGATTTCGAGACACTAGATTTCGCATATCTGGGACACGCATGCGTCTACTCAGGCCCACTTTGCCAATTTCAGAGACAGCTGATCGTCAAACAATCTATAATTATTGATGATATTGCTGAGTTTCCTTTCGAGATCAGAAAACTCAAACATCGGATAGTCGTAACGCCCCTGAATCTTATTGAAATATCACAAACTTGAGAAAACTGTTTTTACCCACACTGTCTTCAGAGTAGAGCTGAATTAATGCTAGCAAGCTCCGCGCAATATCAAGACGCTGTTTCACCACGTGCCGTAGTCGTGCTGCTATGAGTCCGCAAGTAAAGGATCCACCAAATAAAGTGTCATCGGGAGTCGGCTCTACTGTACTATCATTCATTCAAACAAAGGATAAGTAGAAATGCTATATACCAATGATACCTGGGGGAGATTGAGATGCTTGGATGGCTTCCAAGAACAAACTTATGATTTGAGACCATTTCTGGACCACCTAAGTTTAGAAATCCGTAATCACTAATATCCGATAAACGCATGTCAAATCTCACAATCTGTGATCGCATGAAAGTAGAATCATGGGCGGGTCCGTCCGACATCACATACTCAGCTAGCCCAAGCTCGTCTTCCTCCTGAATTCTGAGGATAAATGGTGGTTTGAAACGCCCAGTAAACAAAAGTCCTCTTCCCCTGATATGAGGCTAACATCATGAAAAAAGAAAAGTAAAAACAAGGATTCACCAACATAATCAAACAATTTGACTAAACAGATATCAAACCTTAGCCGCAGCTCTCTCCAATGCGATAGAAACCATTTTATCCATGCCTTCAGGTGGTTGGTGCCTCACGGAACACAACTTCTTCTGCTTTGTCGTCTGGGAAAGAAACGCGGTGAATTAAACGTTGTTGGAAAGCAAGCTCAGTCCTTTCTTGACATTACTCACATTTATTGGCATGTAAGGTGACAACAACCAGTTGTCCTTCAGCCATGCAATAGGCGATCTAAATGATAGACTGCAAAATTTACTGCGTACTTTAGATGAGGATAAACACACCTTGGTAAACTGCGGCTCGTGCACAGGGGCTTTCAATCCGAGTGTCACGGTCGACGTGGTTCACCCCCTCGAGAGCCGCGTCGCATGGGTCTCTCACGTGGCACAAGGCCGCATCCGCTAAGGCCTTCGCGTTACCGGGTGCGGTCGTGTACTACGTGAGAGACCCATGCGACGCGGCTCTGGAGGGGGTGAACCACGTCGACCGTGACACTCAGATTGAAAACCCCTGTATAACAGATGCGCGAAACGCCGCAAGCATTGCCGCAAGCATACGCATGAGCTCCTGCCCAACCAATCAATAACTCGTGATAAAGTGTAAATTGAACATACCAAAGAATAAAACAATCAGGGAACTGACTGTTCGCGGGAAACGTGCAAACGCCTGAAGATGGCTCAACATTTGCATTGATGGAATGCAAAGCGGCATCTGAAGACAATCAAAAAATCGAAACTCCCGAGACCTCGTGAAAAGAAGTAGAGCTGTGACTTACTAGTATTCACTACGAATGTCCGCACTGGTTTTGGCGCAAAACTTTCGGTGAAAACAACCTCTGTATCGTAAATGGGATCCATACCAGTAAACACAGATATCTTGAGTTGGTTTGGTTACGTCTAAACATAGTGTATACTAAACTGAAGTCAAAATCAACAACAACAACAGAAAGAGTAGAAGTGCTAAAGCTGAAGGTAAAAAAGCTGCATTACGAAAATTTTGAAAGCAATGCTGCACAATGCAATGCATGCTCTTCACAGTTCATTACCTCTGCCCTGAAAACAAATATGGTATGTAAAAAACAGTCATATTGATAATTCGCGGAAAACCGCATGATAATCCCACACAGACACGCGAGATGCGAACCACGCAAACGGCAAAGTGATTCATCGGTGGAGATAGCAATAAACGGATTATTTAGACGATACTTTCATCACAACAACACTAGATAGTTGCGCAACTAACCTCATTGTTTCGAAAATCCAGAATTAATCACAAAAACCACTCCATCAATAGTCTACGATGTCTCAGCAAGTCGGAAAGAGCCAAACACTGAAGGTGATTGAGTGCAACCGCACGAAAATTTGAAACATAAACCTGAAAACGAGGAACTTACAGCAACATAAACGCCAACGCGACGAAGAGCAACGCGGAAAAGAAAAAAACGGTAAAGAAACGCGCAAAAACAACAAAATCAAAGAAACGGCGACTAAAATATGGACAAAGAGCGTAAACAGAGGACTCATCACCGTGGAGTTAGACGTTTGCTTGCTACGCGCCAAATCGATACGCAGCCTGCTCCGGATACCTCCCATTTTCTGCTCCGGATACCTCCCATTTTCTGCTCCGGATACCTCCCATTTTCTGCTCCGGATACCTCCCATTTTCTGCTCCGGAGGCCTCCCATTTCTGCTTCGGACCCCTCCCATTTTCTCCGGCCGGCTCTTCCAAATTTGGCGGACACGCGCCGCGCAAATTTCTCCGGCGCGGAGTCCGCCAAATCTGGCAGAGTCGCGCCGGAGAAATGGCGGACCTTTGCAGCAGGGCCGGAGAAGCCTCCCACTTGCCTGCCAGTGATGTCACCGCGATGGACCGCCCATTTGCCCTTCTCTCATTGGTCAACTGGGTCCGGCGCGACTCTGGCAGTTTCGGAGGGTCCGGCGGAGGGGTCCCGTCGATTGTCTGAGAAATGGCGAAAGGAAATTTTGTATGGCTTGTGGAATCCGCGCGGACAATTACGTTGGTCCCACAGTCACTGTCAATGATGGCAATGAAACTGAAATAATTTACGAAGATTGGACATTGCTAGGAGACCATATGCCATTCATGAAGGGGAATGTGGCAGAAGTGATAGATTTCGGACTTCATCAACATTTTTGGCGTTTAATATTCAAAACTTCGCATGTTGATCTGTCCTGCTGTGAGGTGCAATGGGGTCGCGGTCTCTGGACATACCTTCCACGTGCATTGCGTTTGGCAAAATCAAAATAATCTTCGATACTTTCGGGAGCGCCGCTCTATCCCAGCTCACTCCTTGACTTTTTCGCAGTGGAATTGCCTGCTCAATGAACTCGATTTGATATCGATCAACTGTATTGTTTATAGAAATGGTATAATGAACCGTTTTTATAATACTGTTCCTGCAAAGTGATAATGCTGAGGTTAGGCACTCAACCTTGAGGGTTTGATGGTGATATATTAGGTCGTTCCGAAAGTTCTTTCCGTTTTTTCAACATATCATAAAAACACGTGGAATAAAGATAGGGAAACGTTCCAGGCACTGTCCGACGCAACTTTTCTTCCTCTTTTCAACTGTCATATTCCTGTGCCGCTTGCTCTAGCGATCAGTGAGATAATGGCCGAAATTTCGGACCTATGGTTTTTACCATGTCCAACTTTGGCAGTTTTTCACTGCCTTCTTTCCTAACTTTTAGAAAAGCTTTGATAGCATTCGGATAAAGTAAACAAAGTGCAATTTTATGCAATTTTTCGGCATGTATAGCTAGCCTCAGAACATTTTTAAAATTATTTTTCTGATGCTATCAAATTCCACTTTTGGCGATGCCAAAAGCCATGGAACATAAAACGGCGCACAACTAAGGTGTCATTCGATGCAGCTTTTTCTCCTCTTTCTGATGAGTACTTTCTCTTATTAGTTTGTGGGGTCTTTGGCGATAAAATTTCCATAAATCTTGATTTTGAACCCGCCTCATGATGTATGCGTGCAATACAAAATCTTATATTTCGAAGCGGTAAACGCTCAGTTACTTTGTAAAAATAGTGTACAATCATAAACGACTTTTGAAAGTTTCGAAAACCGAAGGTTTGTTGATGTTTAGAGCGTTTATGTGTTTTGTGACTTCGAAAAAATGAAGACTTCCGAAAAAGTTATCTAAAAAAATAATGAGAAGCCGGCTGAAAGTGCCAAAAAATTGCATTGCATTGCACTTTGCTCACTCTATCTGACTGCTATAAAAGCTTCTCCAAAAGTTAAGAAAGAAGATAGTGAAAAATTGCCAAAGTTGGACATGGTAAAAACCATGGGTTTGAAATTTCGGCCATTATCTCACTGACCACAAGAGCAAGCCGCACAGGAGTATGACAGTTGAGAAGAGGAAGAAAAGCTGCGTCGGACAGTGCCTGGAACATTTTCCTATCTTTATTCCACATGTTTTTACGATATGTTGAAAAAACGGAAAGAACTTTCGGAACGACCTAATATGTTGTCCGTCACTCTGGTGAAAGGTTCATTAACTCAAGATTAATGCGATTATCCAAGAGTGTTTGGTATATACAATACACACTCTGTCTTTAGCATAGTCGAGTAGGTGCTTGCTTGTTAGCTGCTAATGTGAGCAATTGACAATTTTCAGGAGGCTGACGTTCTAGGCCTTTGCTGTCAGAAAGAAATGCGTAAGTTCGGTTAATAACGATTACCAACAATTTGAGCTCAAGCAATGAGAGAAGCTGAAAAGGGCAAGAAAATCAAGGTTTGGGCCTCCTGGTCAACTTTATCTTGGGATCTGTGTAGTCGCACATATCAGCAGGGGAAAATACTGTGTATTGCATTACAATACCGCTCGTAATGTGTGAAAAAAAATCACAGCGTTGCGCCGGAGTTCGCCGAACTTCGCGTTGCATCGCCATATCGGGCTCCGGAGTGGAACAATTCTGAATCCAAAAGCACCATTCAACTCAGCTCGACGAGATGCACCTTCTTTTACGTAGAAGTGCCTGTATGAGTTCGACAGCCGGTCAAATCTCAAGGATCTTTCCAAATTTTTGCTTGCGGTAGGTTGGTTGTTGTGCAATGATTGAACACTCTGAGTAACCTACCGTGAGCAATAATCTGGGAGCCATCAGTAAAGTTAGAGCAACTTTTGTGCTCCAGCAGGCAATTCCTTACATTCAAAGATGAATTTCGTCGAGCCGAGTTGAATGGTGCTTTCAAATCTAGAATTCTTTCATTTCAAAATAAGATATGGCGATGAACGCGAATTTCGACGAAATTCGACGGAGTGGGTGATTTTTCACAAATTATCAGCTACATTGTAGGCTAGCCACATCCGGTGACTCATGAATGTTACTCAAGTGATAGTTTATTTGCGTGAAGCGCTGCATCGTGACAAATACAATACCCTACTCAATCATTCTAATTAAAACATATTGCTAAGGGTGTGAGAGTGCTGAAAAGTTATACAGGTACGCACAAGTGGCGGTCCCAGGGACCAGAGGGGAGAGGGGGCGGCATAAAAATTTTTCAAATGAAGGTACGTGGCGTTAGCCACGCATTTCGAAATAGTTAGATATAAGGTTTTTCTAAATTTTTAAAATTTTTAAAAATTACTTTAATTTTTTACAAGAATAAACAAATCACTTGCACATTTTTATAACCCATGTAAGTAAATTTCAGAAATTTCGCGATCCATTCTCGGGGGGGGGGGCCTCCTCCCTACCGCCCCCCCCCTCCTCCTCGATCCGCCACTGGTACATACGTACGGTTGAAGGTAATTTGATAGAGATTGGGTGGTTACATTATATGGAAGTGAGTTAGGAGCAGGGTTGAGCGTGAGGTCAGGCGCGCCCGATCTGGAGGGTCGTCTAGGGGGTATGACTGAGGGGGAGGGGTCGTAATTAAGAACCGAATCCATTCATGAGGAGATACTACGAAGGTGAAGAAGAAATGCGCTAGTCCGGTGGTTATCGTAATCATCAGTACAGGAATGACGGTTGTAAACAGCATACAGATTGTTTCCACAATCGAAATGTCATCCAAATTTAAGTCTTCATCATTTAACTTCACAAATCATGAGGTCGCCAACTAAGCTTGTTTTGTCAAATGGGTAATTCCGTAATCAGCATGTCAGATTACCTCTATGAGCTCTAAAGTCATTATCTACCGCATTTTCTATGTTTCGCAACGTCCAGAAAGCGTGATTTTCAAACATGATTAACTTTGCTTCAAAAGTGAAAATAGTCAGCTTTTTTATACTCATAACAAATCAACGTTCCCTACAACCCTATGCTAAAATCAGGCTTCACGCTTTCAAATAGTGAAGTAAGAAGTGCTGCCAAATTTCAAACCGGCGCGTTCTTTACATTAAGTGCTTCAACTCTACGGATTACTACAAGGCCGAAACAAGTCAAAACAAGCTCAAACACTTAATGTGGAATCTTCAAGAATTGTGCTAGCGAATCACATAAAACTTGGATAGAAAAGCTTCCTCGAAAATAAAGTTAATGGGGTCAGGCGCAAACCCTCAAAAGGTCAGGCCGCCCCTTGCCTCTAATGTTCAAAAGTGTTCCTTTTTTAGCATGAGTATTGAGCGCAAAGCCTTTTATTGCTTTACCAGTGCGTCACCTCTGCTTCGCAGAGGCTCGCACTGGTTCCACTCTATATGCCTTACTTAGTCTCGCCTAATAATGGCTTTGAAACTCACCGCGGAATGCTGACTATCGCGAATAAAATGTAAACAACTATTCATTCTAATAGCTTTTTTATGTAAGATTGGTGATTTCGCGTGGATGTAACTTTTCGCAGAAGAACAAATGCAAATTTGAATAGGTTTTGAAACTTTTT